TATATATATATATAAAATAAAATATATTGTAATAATAATTGTACTTCGGAAAACATCGAAGTAATGGATAATAATAATAAAGTCAAAAATTATCTCATAGAATGGGGGTTAGACTCTTATTTGGACATATTCAAAGGTAAGTGATGCAAATGTAAACATAAAATTGGCAAAATAATAATATAACACAAACCAAAACGCTAGACTTTTACCAGAGGCAGAGATTCGGTTGAGATAACCGAAAACAATTGCCTGAGTAGCGGAAACCTTTCATAGGAATTTTTCTGTTCTTACAACCGAGTTTTCATCTGGTCTCCAGAAAACAGAAAATTTCGGTTGTTGTAACCGAAATTCAATTATACGAACCGAATCTTTTTTTCCGTGCAAAGTTACATAATGAAATCGTGTAATTAAGACATGTAAATCTCGTAGCAGATTATTCCAAATTAATACGTGATTTCTGAAAAATCATATGATATTGAAAATAATTTCATTCATTATCTGATTTTGTAGTTACCGAATTTTAAAGAACTGAATGATAGAAACAGAGAAGAAAGAAAAACATATTATTATATGATTTTTTAAATTACGTACTCTCTAAATCTGAACCAGTGGATAATCACTGATATCAGTGCCAAATATGCCACTGGTAATCAGTGAGTGAAATGTGAAATTCTTAACTTAGCTAACCTTTATTATGTGATCTAATTAATCTTATTTTAGTGCATTAAATTCAATAAATATAGTATTAGAAGATTGAAATTAACATATAAATATTAATCCTTTTTTAGTTTGCGAAGATTCGTTTTGCGGATCGCACGTTGTAACTCAAGCGTGATGATCGTAACACTACAGTACAATCAATTAGAATGTATACGATCTATAGAGATAGAAATCTCTTTGTACAACTTGATAAAGATTTTTATTGTGAAGATTAGAAGTGTGACTGAATCATGTTAAAATTGCGAACGAAGATATCGTGATGCGAAATCCGAAATGTCAAAATTTTATGTAAGATACGTCCGCCTCAAAAAGTCATCTCCTTTTCATATTTTCGACGGTAGATGGCACTCGTTTATTGCTGTCATTTACCGGCTTATTTATCTATAGTTTCATTAGCACTGTATTATGTGTCGACATTTCACTGTATAGTTACTTTAATACTTTAATAAGTTACTTTTAAATTAAAAGTGTATAAAAATATAAAACAGGCCGCTTGATGTGTGAACATCATTACGTATATATTCATGCCGTTTATAGCCTCTCGAATTTGGTAACGGCATGAATATATACGCAATGACGTTCACACATTAAGCGGTCAAGTGACCTGTTTTAAAATTTTATATGCTTTAGATTAAAATTACTTAGAAACTAAAGCCGCAATCAAAGATCTAAAAACATTTTTATTATATGTCGTCGGTATCTTTCGATTGCGATCAGTCCGAATAAAATTGGTGCAGCCGATACCGAGATCTGAAGATC